CTGGCTGGCATGTGGTGCTGGGGGATTGAACCACGGTCCATGTGCTTTGCTAAGCTTGTTCTAAGTAGGTGCTTTAGACCACTGAGCCATCTCACCAGCCCCTAAAATGATTTTAAATTACAATTCTGAATAAAGAATATGAGTGGCTACAAAAAAAACCGAAATCCTGCTTTAAGCATTAAGACACATGTATGCTTTTGTCATATTTATTAAATGAGTCTTGAAGTATTAGATTCTTGGTTGAATGTAGAAGATATCCACACTGGGTTGAGGTGCGCTATTATCTTTAGAAATCTTTTTGTGAGTCACTTTTCTTTAGAAATTCTATATTTTGTGATTTATCCAGGTTTTCAATAAACTGTTTGAGGGGCCAGGGAGATGGCTCAGTAGAATAGGTGTTTGCTTGGCAAGCACAAGGACCTGAGTTCAATCCCCGGTTCTGCAAAAGAAAAAGAAAGAAAGAAACCGTTTGAATACTTTCATATAAGGTGCTAAGACTGGTTTTACAATCTGTAGTTGTGTTTGATACCAGATTCAGTTTCATTCTCCTCTTTTTCATTTTCATTGGTGCAAATGACTTTTTTTTTTTTTTTTTTTTTTTTTTTGCGGAACCAGGGATTGAACTCAGGCCCTTACGCTTGCCAGGGAAGCGCTTATTCCACTGAGCCATCTTCCTGGCCCCTGGAAAGGACATTTTAATTCACAGCAATGGAGCTCATTGTTGGAGCAGTAAAGGGATCAAACTGATCCACTTTCTGTAAATCAATAGGCACAGAAATCCAACCTGTTTTAGGGTGAACACTAAAAGGGCTCTTCAGTAAATGATTTATTTCTTTGCTAACATTGATATCCAGCTGTGGAAAACAGTATTGCAGAATAATTTCCCACTCCAGCCAGGGTCCATCCACATTTGTCATTTTTTATGTTTATTTTCAGCTGCTCCCAATGCTGAAGTGAACTGTGAGATTTCTGGAAGCTTGTCTGAAGTTCTTCATGAATTGTCCCAGAAATAAGAGCTAAGACCTTATCCCAGCTTTCTTATTTATTTTTGGATACAGGGTCTCACTGTACAGTTCAGATTCATAGTGATCCTCCTGTTTCAGCCTCCCCAGTGCTGGGATTAGAGGCATGTGTCTCCATGCCCCGAATTCCAGGGCCAAAATGGCATGAGGTACCACAAATCGAACTCAGGTCCTTGTACTTGCCAGTCAGGCACTTAAGACTGCTGAGCTATCTTCCCAGCCCCCAGATGTAAATCATTATTTTTAAGCCTATCTTGATCAACCAACATGTATGCTTCAAGGTATTTTTAATTATGTTTATAGATCTTTGAACAAAGGATGCATTTTTTCACTTAATTGAACTTTCTTTTTATGTTCTGACCCACCATTTGTCTTGGTTACTTTTCTCTCACCACGGGGACAAATACCCAACAACCAAAATTAAGGAAGGAAAGGTTTATTTAGCTCACAGTTTGTGAAAGTTTCAGTTCATACTCAGCTGGATCCAAGGCAGACTGGCACATGGCAGAAGGCAGCAGTTCATGGTGGCAGAAAACAGCAAAACAGCAAGAACAAAAGGGCTGGATCAACAATGGCAGCAGAGAGCAAGTCTTTCTCCCAGGCCTGATGTAGCAGTCACACCCATAATCTCAGCAGCACTTACACTCATAATCCTAGTCATGAGTTAATCACAAACTCTAGAAATCCTCCCCATGACTGCATGAGGTTTTGGGGAGATAACTAGACACACACCATAACACCATTTACAAAACTCCTATACTCAACTATCCCAGAATATACTGCAGAGGACAATCTTCTGATTCATCACAGCCCAGCAACAACCACCTCTCTTTCCAAAATATACCCAGAGACAATGTTTAAACTCAAAATCCCCCTTCAGCACTCAGTCAGTGATATGTATGGCCACTGTCATGAGGGTCCAGCACTTAGAGTCTATGTCTGCAGAACTACAGCATCTTCTTACATCATCATAGTCTGTTATGCCAAAGTCAAACACCAGTTCTTTCTCCTGAGCCTGGAAGGCTCTCAGCTTTACTGTAATGTGTTAATGTGGTCTGTGGGAATATACTGCACCTATTTTTTTTTTCTTTTTCTTTTTCTTTTCTTTTTTTTTTTTTTTTTTTTGCGCAAAACTGGGGATCAAACTCAGGCCCTTGCACTTGCCAGGCAAGCACTTATTCTACTGAGCCATCTCCTCAGCTCCTTGCACCTATGTTAATCTTGTATGGATTCATTTTCTGCATTTCCTTTTCCAGATAACTCTGGTTGTTAAAGGATTGGTACGGAATGTAAATATTTTCAATGTGAATGTGAATGAAAATTCAGTTTAAAAAATAATTCTTTACCACTCTGTCACTGTCACTGAGCCAGTGTACTGGGAGTAGAGGAAGAGCTTTTGGTAATAAAGCTTGAGCAGCTCCGGTAGGCTCCACAGGGTCAAAGGACTCCGTGGTATCGGAACCTCCCAGGAAGAACAACACAACACTGGCAGGAACCACTCATAAATTATTTTTTTTAATTTTAATTTTTGGTACTGGAAATTGAATGCAGGACCTTGCACATGCCAAGCAGGTGCTGCGCTGCTGACCTATATCCCCAGCCCCAGTTTTCATGAATTATTGTCCTGAGAAGCCAAAAAAATCATATAAAAAGGAATGCACAACTGGGCATGGTGGTGCATACCTGTGGCAAGAAAATCGTAAGTTCAAGGCCAGTTTACACTACATAGTGAGTTCAAGCCCAGCCTGAATTTACACAGCAAGACCCTGTCTCAAAAAACAAACAAAAGAAAGAAAAATAATAAAAGTCTGTACCCAAAAGAAATAGAAAGGGGCTGGTGAGATGGTTCAGTGGTCTAAAGCACCTATTTAGAACAAGCTTAGTAAAGCACAGGGACTGCGGTTCAATCCCCCAGCACCACATGCCAGCCAGCCCCGCCCCCTGGTGGGCTGTGCTGCCCCCCCCATAAATAAATAAAATTTAAAAAAAAAAGAAATAGAAAAAAGAAAAAAAGGAATGCACAAAGGGAGGACAGGGCAGTGTTGGGGGGTAAGAAAAATTTCTTATGACTTCAAGTTAGGGAAAATTTCTGTTTTCCTAGCTAACAACAAACAATCAAAGATTCAACTACACATTCTAAATGAAATGCGATTAATTGGACCAACTTAAAATACAGAACCTCTGTTTCTCAAAGGACTGCAAAGGGCCAAAATACGGAATTGTAACAATATTCTGCAAGTAATTCATATCTAGACAGTATTTTAATATTTTAAACAGTCTCTGGATCAATCTGCATAAGACAAACAGGCCGGTTTTGATTTTTTTATGTTTTTGGTTTTTTTAGACAGGGTCTCACTATGTAGTTCAGGCTGTCATTGAACTCACTATGCAGTCTAGGCTGGCCTCAAAGTTAGCGATCCTCTTGCCTCAGCCTCTGGACTCCGGGTATTATAGGCGTGAACCATCATGTCCAGGAACAACAACCAAGTTTTTTTAAAAAGGGGGGAGGGTACAGTTAAAGAGGAAACCCAAGTAACTAGAAAGCACATGAAAAGATGTCCAACCTCTTCAGCAATTAAATAATTCACATCTTGCCATAATCAGCACCCCCACGTACATCAGATGCAATATAAAATGAGAGCTGCAGGGCAGGGTCTCCCTCTGGTGGAAAGGTGTTGAGCAGTAACAGCTACTTTCTAGCCCTGTTCCTGGAGATCCAAATTTCATAGGAGCCAGGAAAAGCTGTGTTGTCAGTATCCTTCGAGGCTATGCCCCGTGATTCTTTACTTTTGGCTGTTTGGCATATATCCCTTTATGCTATAAAGAGACGAGAGAACAGAAGCAAGACGACTGAAGGTTCAAGCACAGTCTGGACAACTTAGCAATTTAGTGAGACTCCATCTCAAAATAAAAATCAAGGGGCTTACGGTTAGCTCAGTTTAAGCACTTGCATGGGAAAACCCAATCTGGCTTGCGCAACCGCAGTTCGACCTCCAGCTCCACATGCCACACCACACCCGCCCTTAAGGCAGCCTGAGCCAGCACCCCCTAAAAGAAAAACCTTCTTAACTTTAAAATTGATAAATCAAAATCAAAATGGTTCTGGATTGTATGTAGTTCAGCGTAAAGGTCCTGGATTCAATCTCCCATACCACCTCCCCCCCCACACACACACATACACATAAAAAAAAAAAATTATTGTAGGATGCGGTAATTGGTAGTACTTTTGTGGAAACCTATCTGATGTAACCAAATGCAAGTAGACGTGTGTATGGCTCTGGTTCCAGAGAACACCCATGTACACTTAAACATGTTCAATCAAAACAAAAACAAAAGCCAAATTAGCCGAGCATGTGGTCTGTAATCCCAGCAATGCGTGTCCTTCAAATCTTCAAGTTATATTTTCCACGGGTTGTCTTTCTGTGCCAGTTTGTCACTTGCGACCGAAGAAGTCTTGACAAACGTCCCAAAGCTACCTGGTTCACAATGCGCAGAGGCTTATTCAAGCCTGCCTTCTAGGGCTTCGCCCTAGGCCCTGCGCTGTCCCGTTTCCTACGAGCTCTGGGCTCCAGGGTGTCACAGAGCCAGGACACACCTCCTTTCCAGACGGTACTCGGACTAGCCACAGCCCTACTTCTGTGCGCCACTTTTGAGGCCCCTAAGGTTTCTGGAGCCAGGGACCAGGTCTCCCCAGGATCCGCGCAGGCAACGCCATTATAGGAGCCACAAGAATACGTTCTTTCCTTGGCCGAGGAAGGGACTCCCTGAGCTTCAAAGTCAGCGCTCGGAGACCCCACCCTCAGCTTCCGCGCCCAGAAGGCCGCGCGGCGGACCTTGTCCCGCCCCCGCGCCGGGCCGGCGGCCTCGGATTGGCCGCGCTGGCTTCCGTTCTCGGGCGGGCGGGGCAATGAATCCAGTCTGTTGAGCGGCGTGTGGGCGATGGCCGCTGGGCAGGCAGGTACTCAGGAATCTGGGATCACCGCGAGACCCGGCGCCCCGGCGGTACCCGAGGACACCTTAGACGCGAAAGCGGCGGAGCTGCTGCCCTTCCTGTCGCAGGGTGCACGCGCGGACCTGCAGGCGGCGGCGGCACAGCATGTGTTGGCTCTCACAGGCTCGGGCCCGGGCCGCGCGCTCTTGGCTAGGCAGGAGGGGTTGCTGCTGGCGCTCGCCGAGTTGGCGGCGGCTGCAGCCCCGACACTGGCTCGCGACGCCGCGCGTGCGTTAGTGAACTTGGCTGCCGACCCCAGCCTGCATGAGCGGCTGCTGGCGGCTGACCCCGGGTTACCCGCCCGGCTGCTGGGCCGCGCGCTAGACCCTCAGTGGCCCTGGGCAGACGAGGCAGCAGCGGTTCTGGCCAACCTCAGCCGCGAACCGGCGCCCTGTGCCGCGCTCATGGAAACACTGACGGCGGCACCGGGGTCAGGTCTGGAAAGGCTGGTGTGCGCTCTGTGCACGCCCGGCTACAACGCGTGCGCGCCCCTCCATTACCTGGGGCCTCTACTGTCTAACCTCAGTCAGCAACCTGCGGCACGAGCCTTCTTGATGGACCCTGACAGGTGAGTGAAGCGTCCACGCGGTTGGGGAGGGGCTGGAGAGGAGGTCAGACGGCAATAAGTAGTCCTTCCCAACAGGTGCGTGGTCCAGCGGCTGCTGCCCCTTACCCAATACTCAGATTCCTCGTTGCGCAGGGGCGGGGTGGTGGGGACCCTGCGGAATTGCTGCTTCGAGCACCGTGAGTGGTGGGGGAGGGCATGGGCGTTGCTGGGGTGGGGACTGGACTTTGCTGCATCAGAGGACCAAACCGACTCCCATCCTTGTCGCTTCTCCCAGGACATCATGAGTGGTTGCTGGGGCCTGACGTTGACATTCTCCCCTTCTTGTTACTGCCTCTCGCCGGGCCTGAGGATTTTTCAGAGGAAGAGATGGATCGTGAGTGTCTGGGTGGGAGCTGCAAGATTGGCCAGGTGGGAGAGGACCCAGCAGGGAGGGAGTTGTTGAGTAGGGGTGAGGTAAGGCTTACACAGGCAGAGCCTGGACCAACCAGGTTCTCAACCTAGGCACCGAATGGCTGCTACTTTCCTCCCCTAGGGCTTCCTGTTGACCTACAGTACTTGCCACCAGACAAGCAGCGAGAGCCTGATGCTGACATCCGAAAGATGCTCATTGAAGCCATCATGCTAGTGAGTGGGGGGTCCTGTATATTAATGCCAGTCCCCAGCACACACACACACACACACACATTGACATCTGAGTAACCTCTACTATCTCCCCAGCTGACAGCCACGGCACCTGGTCGGCAGCAGGTGCGGGACCAGGGAGCCTACCTGATCCTTAGAGAACTGCACACCTGGGAGCCAGAGCCTGATGTGCAGATGGCCTGTGAGAAACTCATCCAGGTGGGGGCAGAGTTGGAGAGGCTGGGGAAGGGGTGGTCATGGCTGGCTATCTACTCATCTGCTTACCCTGTTGGTAGGTGCTTATTGGGGATGAACCGGAGCCTGGCATGGAAAACCTGCTGGAGGTGCAGGTGCCTGAAGATGTGGAGCAGCAGCTACAGCAGTTAGATCGCCAGGAGCAGGAGCAGTTGGAACAGCAGCAGCAAGAGCTGGCTGAAGAAGAGTCAAGGGGGGCGGAGCCTGCACCTACCTGAGGTCCCTGCTTCCATGATGCTAGTGCCAGTGCCTTCTCTGCCAGGCTTCCCACACTAAGCCTGTTTCCTGCCACTCAGAGGTTATTCCTTGCTAAAGAGCAGAGGTACACTTACGCTCCAGTCTGTGCTAAGAGTTACAGGATGAATGCCCAGTAAACATTGGAAGTTTGAGGGTATTCTGTGTCATGTCCTGTTGTTACCAGTGAAAATGAAGGCTGTTGCACAGCTGAGCCAGAGGTGACCAGACCTTGTACCACAGCTTCCTCCATATGAAGCAGATGGATGGCTTGTTTCTAGGCACTGTGGTGGGATTGGACAGAAAACATTACAGTCTTTGAGGAGTCATCTAGAACTTCCAAAAGTACTGTGTGGTCTGAGCATGGGCCAGCTCAGAGATGCAATCAGTGCCTCCTGTTATCAGTTCCATCCCTTTGGGATACCTTCTAGAGTGTGCCCCCCCACCAAAAAAAAAAAAAAGCTGTCCTTGTTTACTAAGTTCTACTTCCCCAAGTTAGATTTGTTCCCTGGCCAGTTTCTTTGAGTATCAACTGAAAGACCTCACACCCTCCTGCCCCTAGGGCCTCTTACCTACCTCTGCAGGGAACCCCTAGATGTGCCTACATCCCTGTTCCATGTCTAAGCCTCTCCCTCAACAACCATCTATCCTTCAGAACCTACTGTGGGGCTAGGAGCAGCCTTCACTGCTTTTCTCAAACTGTGGTATGTCCCTTCCCCAGTTCTGCAGTTATCATATCAGCTTACCCTAGTGTGTTCCTTTCCTGACCTCTCATTAGACCTCACTGCCCCTTGCCCATGGGGCTCTTAAGTGCTGTCCCCTTTCCTCAGACAGGACCTGTCAAGAATAAAGAGCTCAAGTTGTCTTGCTGTGAGTTTACAGTACCCAACTCCACACCCTTGAATCAGGAGACTGACCCACCTTGTATTCTGTATGGCATCTGACTGCTTCATCGTGTGCCAGGTGTCATCTTCCCCTATGGAGCCAGAGGACCAGCCTTGTGACCTGCCCATTAAAGCTCTGGTGCTGTGGGAAGGCATGATGTGTAGATTGGTGTTTTCTCTGTCCTAGAGCCCCACTAGGTAGTGGCAGAACCTCAGCCTAGGGAAGCACCTGAAGGTCATCTGCCTTCTCTCTACAAGAAGATAGCTGCACTCACAGCTCCACAGAATAAACCTTTTTATCTGTTTATCTGCTCCCCTGCCCCCCATGACCAGGCACTTTCCTGAAAGCAAATAAGGACACAAAGGCAGTGGCTGCCTGGAGGTGTGCTTTGCTGGGCTGCCTGCCTTAGGGACCTGGAGCCCCTGATGGAACCCTCTTAATTGTATGGGGCTAGCCTCCAGGGTCCCAAACACTGTGCCATAGGTTCTTTTCTTGGAAGCATCCTGCCACTTTGGATACCACAGATGCATCTCAAACTTAAAGCCCATGTTCGGCTCTGTCATTCGTGCTGTCTGGCTCCACAGCAGTGGATGGAAATCAAATGAAGGGACCACCACCTGTCAGCTCCTCCCCCACAGGTCACACTCACCTGGCAGAGAACCAAGTCCAAAGCAGAAGACCATGTGTGCCGCAGGCAGCACCTGGTGCAGTCCCAGATGGGCATGGGCAGCCCCTGAAGTAGGTCCTGGCACTCTGTTGGCAAGGCCCATGGCTACAGCCTCCCATCAGCCACCTGTGCTCATGGCCCATGCCTGCCACCACCAATGATGCCACTTTGGAGAGGTCATCCCTTTCACAGAAGCTGAAGGACAGGATAGAGACTTGGAGCAAAGGGTAGGCAGGTCCTGAGCTCAGCTGTAGGAATCCCTGATCATCTAGCAGAATGTTCTCACATTTTATATCCCTGCTGGGGAAGGGGGAGGTCAGGTTGGGTTCAAATGTGTTGTCAGGTGGGCAGGTCAGGTGTACCCTCACCAGTGCACAATGTTGGCAGCACACCACCATGGTTTTTTTTTTTTGGAACTGGGGATTGATCTCCCCAGCCCCTAGACCACCATGTTGACCAACTGTCAGAACAGCCTTCAAGGGCTGGTGAGATGGCTCAGTGGTCTAAAGCAGCTACTTAGAACAAGCTTAGCAAAGCACAGGGACCACAGTTCAATCCCCCAGCACTACGTGCCAGCCAGCCCTGCCCCCTGGTGGGCTGAGCTGGACACACACACACACACACACACACACAAATTAAAAAAAAGAATTAAAAAAGAACAGCCTTCAAGCATTTTCTAGTTCCAGGCAGCAGCAATGGCCTAACACTGTTGATGTGCTCCAGCCTCTACACAAAAGCTTTTTAGTCCACCTCTAAAAGTTGCCAAAGTCCTAACAGTTTTACCACTGCTGAAAAGTCCAACTCCAGTCCCTTCTGAGATTTAAGGCAGACTCTCAGCTGTGAGCCCCTGTACAAATTAAAAGCAGGTTAAACACTTCTGCTGTAAAGTGGGCTAGGAATGGGACTAAAGAGAGTCCAAAGTGCATCAAGGCAAACATTAAGTCTTATATTTCCACATGCAGCAGCAGTGGCAATCTGAACACCAAAAGGCTCGAGCCACCTCCGTCCCTGTGGCACTGCAGGTGATTGTCATGCTCGTGGCTGCTTGTGTGCATTCTGTGCAGCTTTCTTCAGAGAATGAACAAATGATCATAGATCACATGATCTATGTCCCTTCTCCAAACTTGGGATCGCTATGGTATTCCATAGCGATACACTCACTATTCCATAGTGATACACTATTCCATAGTGTCACACTCACCGCTTCACCCACTTCCCTCTGCGGGGCACTCCCTGGTTTCCTTGGCCTTCTGAAATTTGGGTGGAAACCTTGACACCACAACCTTTGACTTTCCATGCTCATAAAATCAGCACCATGTGGATGGCACCAAGCTCTACCCCCAGCTATAGCAGTACCAAGTCTTTTTTCTCTTTACTCTAGGGGTATAATACCTGCCTTGCTGGGTGCTGTGAGCCCAGTTTGGAGGAACAAATTCCCTAGACAGCTGCCATTCTGGATCTTGGTATTTTGGGGCTCTCTTCTCAGCAAAGTATCTTTCTGTTCTTTCCCTTTTTGTTGGTCTTTCTAAGCTGACCTAGAACTCACAGTGATTCTCCTGCCTCAGTCTCTCAAGTGCTGGGTTTACAGGTGTATATTACCTTGCTTAGTTTGGCAGTCTTTCACCTTCGGGTTTTTGAAGCTGCAAAGGGTGGACTCCTATTGGTTCTTGTGATGCCCTTACACCATCTTTTCTTTTGTGCTCTTAAGAAATACTTGACTTTATTGTTAATCTTTTCAGCAGTCAAGTTCTCTGTTCCATCTTGGTAGGCCACATACTGGAGCTTTTTTTCTAGTCAAACTCGAAACTTAAAATCATGCTCCTGGGCTTTTTGCCCTTGATTCTCAACATAGATTTGATCAAAGCCTCTGATAGCAGCCATGTCACTACCTCAACATTAGACTTGAAATTTCTTCCACAAAATTATTTAGTCTGTCACCCTTAGTCTCAGTCTCAGGTAAAGTCTCTGGACATGTGCAAAATATAAAAACGGGGGACCTGCCAGTTAGCTCAGTTGTTAAGCACCTGTTTATGCAAACATAGGCACAGGATACCACGGTTAGATCCCCAGCTCCACATGCCTTACCAGACCCGCCCTTAAGGCAGCCTGAGCCAGGCCCCTCCCTCCCAAAAATACTCAAAACCAATTTTTTTTTTTTTTTTTTTTTTTGCCAAAGCATAACACATGGTCTGGAGTCCAGCAGCCAGTGTAGTCTTTGTTTCTGACCTCCTGAGCCTGGTTTTTACTGGCTCCATTTCTGTCAGCATTCTGGTCTTCTGAACTTTGACCAGAATCTCTCATCAAGCTTGGCTTACAACATTCCAGGGCTGCTGCTTCATCCAATCCAGTATCTAAACCTTTCCCATCAATTCCTACAGGCAGGTTCCAAAGGCTTCTGAACCACATGGTCAGATAGTGTTACAGCAATGACCCTACTTCTCTGGTATCAAAATCTGTCTTTTTCTTTCTTTTCTTTTTGGCAGAACTGGAGATTGAACTCAGGCCCTTGCGCTTGTGCAGGAAGTGCTTATTCCACTGAGCCATCTCCCCAGCCCCTGTCTTACTTTCTTGTTACTGTGACAAAATACCCAACACCCCAAGGCAGAAGAGTTTCACAGAGGAAAAATAGTCCATAGCAGAGGAGGCAGGAGGCAGCACACAACAAATAGCCTGCTTTTTGTCTTTTATTTCATTCTTGTCACAAGCCTGATTGGTGCCACCCATTGTCAGGGTGGACATTCCATTTTTTTTCATAATTTTATTGAGAAACAAATAGCAATGAGACAGTTTCAAACCAAAATGGTAGGATAGTTTCAATAATTAACACATTGCATACATTCTTCCTAGTGGTTAATTGCTGTACAAGATGCGGACATGATATCCTATTTACAAACACTATTA